ATCGAGGTCTCTTCAGTCTGATAAAACAAAATCAGGGACAGATTTTAAAAATGACTTGCAAAATATATTAATTATATAGAGTGTATATAGGCTGGCTATGGATTTAATATCAGGTTCTAGAATATTAGAAATATGGGAACTTAACATTTAGGCTGGATGGCAAATAGCAGAGTGGTGAAGAGTTTGGCTTATAGAGTCAGAGTGGGGAAACCCCTATTCCAACTCTTCCCTTTCCTCCCAACCCCCAACAGCTCCATAGCTGTGGGGCCTTCAGCAAGTTACATTAATTCTACAAGTTTATTTCCTCATCTTTAATTTGGGGACAATAGTGAAACCTACCTCATAGGTTCTTATGAAGATAAAATAAGAAAATCCATGCAATAATGTGAAGAGGTCATTATTAGCTAATGTTGATGTTATTCATTTAAGACCCTTTAAAAGAGGGTTTCTGAATCTCAGCACTACAGACCTTATGAATGGGATAATTTCTTGTTGGGGACGGGGGTTGGTTCTCTGTGTTGTAGGATGTTTAACAGAATCCTGGCCTCTACTCAGTAGATGCCAAGAGTGCCCACCTTCCAAGTTGTGACAACCAAAAATGTCTCCAGATATTGCCAAATGTCCCCAAGGGGGGCAAAAATATCAATGTCAATTGAAAACCACTATTTTAAAGGAATCAACTTAGCATAAATGAAGTACTACTTTCCAAACTTTTAGTTAAATCAACAGATGGTAAATACTAAAATTATATAAAGTTTCAAGAAGGGTTTAGAAATCACACACACACACACACACTCACACCCCTATAATGAATAAAGTTTCTAAAAGATATTTGAAAACTCTGTGCACTTCTGAGGTTGAAGTAATGTAGACCCCCCCCCCCATACTGACTTTCAAACACTGTCTGGGCTGTTCCCAGATAGGATAAAAACAAACAGGTCACGTGGATGATCAAACCCACACAGTAGGATACCTGAGATGCTCATCTGTTCAATTATAAACTGCACCTGCAGCAAGGACACATTTCATGGCACCCCTGGAGTGGCAATGTGTTCTAGAAAGTGTTTCTGAAACTCCCTGCATGTCAGAATCATAAGGGGAGCTTCCCAACATGGAGATTCTCAGGCCTCATCTCTACATTTTAATTTTTCATTTTAAAGTGGGGAGCCCAGACATCTGTAAATTGAATAAGCACTACCAATTAGAAACTTCTGTTCAAGTGGATGGGGTCTTGAAAACAGAAAGGAGGTCAGTTTCTCTTTGACTCTGCCCCACCTCAACTTCAGCATTAGAAAGAGACCTATAGATTATGCAGAATTCTTTGAGACTAGCTGTAGACTGTAAACAGATATCCTGTGTTAGTGTCTTATCCAAACAAAAGGTTCAATTTAAAAATCAAGATGTTAGAAAGAAAAATTATGTACTGCTGCAGAACTATTATTTCTAGTAATAGGTCTCCAGTTATGTCTGGTGACAGTTTTTGCTAAAAACTCCATACCATCAATCACCCTTGGTCAGACTGAGAAAGGGTTACCATGCTTAGCCACGTGGAACATTAAACAGTCCTTCCGTAAATTTTGAAAATGACAAGCAGTTGAAAAGCTGCCTTGCCGCTGATTGCCTTTCCATCACTCTTCTCTAAGGGCCCCTGGATCCCTCGAATCTGTCTGTGTCCTCATTCCTTGTGCACATACCCATCCTCCACCCGCACCCCCATCCTCGACCCCCACCCCCAGCCTGTGGACTGGGTGCATGAGCACCTTTCTCCTCCTGAAGTAAATGCATGGAGTTGACTAGTCACAGACCCTAAGTTATAAGTCCCATGTGGTCTGTGAGCCTCTTCCCGGTGATGAAATTGAAGTAGAGGAGAGTCAAAGAGAACTTGAAATTCTCTCCTAATTCAAGACACTGTCCATTCAAGCTATGGTTCCCAATACTCAGGAGTGTTTATGAAATATACAGATTCCAGGACTTCTACCCCAGACTGTCTAGAGATGAGGCCTGAAAATCTCCATGTTGGAAAAGCTTCCTGGTAATCATGATGTGTAAGGAGGTTCTGGAACACTATCTAGAACACATACCTCTCCAGGGGTGCCATGAAAGGTGTTCTTGTTGCAAATGCAGTCTATAATTGGATTTCTACAACAGGGGAACATTTTAGGTATCAGAGTGGAACTGATCTTTGCAACCCATAAATCCAAGTTAAAGCCCAATATTTTGATTTTAAGATATAGCAACTACTATTCTTTTCTCAGACTCTCATTTCAGATGACTACTGCAAAAGTCAAACAACTTTACTTAACGCATACCCTAATCATGTCTAAAGTGAGTTTGAAACCTATTTGCAACATCAATTTATATTTATGAATGTTTACTTTTAATGATTAATTGGTAGCATATTATATCTAGATATTTCTTTTTTTTTTTTTTTTTAAAGATGACCGGTAAGGGGATCTTAACCCTTGACTTGGTGTTGTCAGCACCACGCTCAGACAGTGAGCGAACCGG